ACGGTGGTGATTTTGAGTGGATTCCCCACCATATCGTATGTATGCTCAAAAATCAGCAGGCGTTGCGGTTGGTGTAAAACAGTACATCTCGATCGAGTCGTTGACAATGACCGGAGTCAGGAAACCGAAGTTTGCAACCAGTGAAAAGTCTTCAGTACACTTTCATTACAAAAACATTTCTGACGAACTTCATCTGATTAAGTTAAGGGCGGAGCGGCGCTGATCAATGCCATCAGCCACGCGTGCCTTATTTTAAAAGCAGAGTCGGAAGCAACCATGTGGCAAGCACGGTGTGCAATCTCCTGCTTCCATATAACAGAGCGGTATAAGTTTATCAACCTTGGAAAGACGAGACGAGACGAGTGACACGGCAGAGGCTCGAACCTGGGATCTCTCGGTTTTGAATCTGACACTCTAGCAACTGAACAACTCAGAAAAGAGACACCGTGAAAAACAGGGCCGTTTGGGTCCAGTGTTAGTAATTTTTGATAATGACAAAATTGACATTAAGCTTGAGTCCGACACTGTCAATGCAAAAATTGCCTGCATATAAGAGGTGTCCGGTTTGTTCGTTTCAGCAGAGTTTTGGAGTAGAAGCTGTGAGTTACTTACGACGCCACAAAGCCGAATCAATCCTGGTTACATTTCTTTCGGTCTGTTACTTCGCCTAATCCGGTGAACAAATAGTCTTACCATTTGTCAGTTAAATAAATAACTACATAACGCCACATGTAGAAATTAAGACCTATACGAACACTATTACTGACACATGTTCGTTTTGCCTCCCATCACGAAAATCTGTTCAATGACCTCAGCCGACGCTGTGTGATTGTACTGTCGTGTCTGTGAAAAGGGAGCTGAGATGTTCGGAATAACGACGCCGCCGATCCCACATCCCTGTGCGGTTAAAATCTAACAAGCTCATAAAATGACTGCTTGAACACCTGCTCTGATGTTTCAACCCTGTGAATCTTTCACCTTGAAACTCTTTAGCTTGAAATTCACAAGACTTCCTGCCATGCAGACTAACGTTAATCGGGGGCACTTTCCATTTGACGATTAAAAGGTTTGTGTACAGCCTCAACTTTTGCATCTGTTGTTGTTCAAACGTCTTTCTGTCATAACGTTGTAAACATATATTCGAACAGACAGATATATCTAAATTCCACGCTGCAGATGCATTCAAAGTAAACAGCACCAGATGCATGAGAGTGACGTTTTAAAGGCATCGAAATACCGTATACATGTTCCAATCATGTGCACAACATTACAAGAGCTTATCAAATGCATATGATGAAAGAGCCGCCTTGCAGGATTTACATGGTTTACAATTGTTTCGTCATACCTTAGCAAAATCCTGAATATGAAGGTTATGACGCTTGATTCATTTGGTACGTTGCTTCTTCAATCAGGAAGCTTTGGACCGGGCTTTAAACGCGATGGTACTGCCTGACACTACTTAGCAAACATTTTGCATATAAAATATGTTTACGATCTGTTGGTGTTAAAGACTGACCTGGGAGCAACTCTGAACATGAAGAAGCTGACACCTCAGGATCATCCTGCAGAACTGTTGATTAATATTTATTCACAAACCGACGAGAAACAGCAAATCCTTGATGTTCTAAACATCAAAATGCCAGGCTGTGCGCTACAGTATGGAAAGGGTTTCTTCAAGCAAAGTTTCATTCATCTATAGCCTATCGTTTCCGTTTCTAGCCTATCAGAAGTCGCACCCTCAGCATGCTCCATTGGTCACAATTAACGTACATATCTCATCCTACGACGTACCGCTTTCATAGAAAAAATATATTACACAAGCATGACTTGAATATGCTGGTTCAGATCCACCTGGTTATAAAGCCTGTTGCACACTGCTTAACAACTGTACTGTTACCTTATTCATAATCACATACGCTATGAACACGGGACTTTTAGATCAGAATTGTCATGTGCTTAACGCAGTGATTTCGAGACGCAGCAGTTCGATGCTTACAAACGGGAATACTCTATTATGAAAGCACTTTCACCCTTTATTCAGATTAGTGTACGATTCAGCACCCAACGCAGAATAATCTCTTCGCACGGATTGTTGCGTCACCCACGTCATCAACGTTCGGTGACCAAACTTTTATACTTAATTTACTGACGTACATACTCTAAAACAATATACTCTCCTTGAATGCTTTATCCTTTGTCACTTTATCGTCGAGTAAGAATTCACACTCGTAATCCAGATTTACGCACATCAATACTGTAAATGCCAAAATCCAAAGTTGCTGATGCATTAAAGTATGACACCACAATTTTTCTGTAATCTGTGTTTCTAATTTGATGTGACGTTTCGATACTTCAATCAGATATTAACACACTTCAACTGCAGTCGAAACCTGTAGTAGAAAACTGAGGGTCTTCTTAACCATAAATTACCTTTTCATTACGAATTATGAACACAACAGCCTTGTGGATTGAACGCTTTATTGCTTGCTTTACTAATTACAAATCAGTTTTCGTAACATGGTCTCTGAAATGCAATGCATAATCCGCTGTTTTTGATGAAAGAAAAAACAACGTAACCTTGAGATGTCGGTCTCCCTCATACTCTCTCACTTAGAGGACAATTACGATAATCTTGTTATCATTAAGTTTATAGTGGGAACTGATCTCTATTTCCATGCTATCACAGTGGAGTGTTTAATTATAAGAACAGTCTACTACCTGTGTAACAGGCATAGTATGTAGTTTTTTGCTTCCTTCCCACAGAACGGTACTCATTTAGCAACCCCGAAAGGAAGAAAGGGGAGTAGCCAGACCGGGAAACCAGCCCTGGATCTGTCGGTTGCAAATATGAAGCTCTGACGACTGAGCAGCCTTAGCAGTTATGAAATACCTGATGAACCGACAATTTAGAAGAAACTAGTGGTTACAGGAACCTAACCCTTATTTTGATGTTGAAAACTGTCGACAGAGGAAGTGAATTCACTGTAGAGGAAAACTTTCAACTAACATCTGTAAATTTGCAATACAACGATCACATCTGATTCCGCCCAAATCACACATGATTATTTATCCAATGATTATTTTGGTACTCAAGAGAACTCAAATTTGGAGGGAAGATTCCTTTTAAACATCAAAACAATTAAACAGATAAAATAATGTTATTAAATGACAAACGATGCTACATAAGGTAAGAACGTCTTGATAAACGTCTTAACTATAAAGTCGACACTGCGACCTACCTCTCATAATTCTTCTTCGAGTTAAATACAGAATGACTTCTTCAGGATCAGAATTCCACGGTGTACTGCACCGAACTCTTGTTTCTTAACTGCCTAGGGGTGGGCATCTGTGCACGCCATGGCTCCATAAAGTTTCAAAACCTAGTGCCAGATGTATGTAGCATCCATTTGCTCGCCAGATTGTTCAGAAGTTAGCACTGCTTGTATGTCACCGTTTAAGCATCATCAGCCATCAGTTCAGTTCGTAAGGCCGAGTATGTCATGTAACGAATGTCTAATCCAAGTCAAGATTTGACGGCGTTTGGCATCGAACCCTTACTTATAATTGCCTATGGAGAGTATGGGTCATTTAAGCAGGCCACGGCTGCATAGTATTTCAGCACCTGCAGTATCACATGAATCTACCATTTTTATGACCGCCAGAGCCACCTGCTGCTCATTAGGAACGCTATTTCAGGAGGTACTACTCCTTACACATACCACATATGCCCGAGAATGCCAAATAATGAGTGACTTTTCAAGACTATATTTCATAGCGCACTGCACCGTACGAATGTCCCGCATCTGCCATGAAAGGTCTGAGATACAGTGGAACAATGGCCTACTTAAATGACTCCCCTCCCAATCAACTACAAGCAAGGAGGTGAAGCAATATGCCATAAAATCTGGTCTTCGATGAGTTATTCATTATTTTACATACTCGGGTGTATAAAGAGCTTATGATTTTTCTACAAAAGAAGTAACATCGGAGGTCATGCATTTTCTAAAGTCAATAACGGTTCAATGCGACCATGAAGGCACAGTTTAACTGCGTCAACTGCATATAAATACATGAAAGATCGTGATGCGCTCTTAGATGTAACTAATACGGTGGATCTTTAATGAACGATTTCCTCTGCATCGATTAGAGAAGCTTAATATAAGTCCATCTTGTGCAAATATATTCAAGACTATCGGAAATGGATGGAAGGGAAAAAATTCAAAATAATACGAGTTAATCCGAAGGCCTGGTCGTTTAGGCGATGCCATAACGACGTTAAACCTGATATGGTAGAATTATGCTTATCTAACACCAATAAAAGCCTTCCTACTGCCCGGAGACGAAATAACAGAATTTCATTCTCTATCAAACGATTGATATGGGCGATAAACGGGTTCTGTGGTATCTTGCATCGGGATCTGTGGTTCTCATATTCTTTTCAGAAGCATACTTAACTTCTAACCGTAAGCAGGGTTTCACTACAATTTTAGGTTCATCCCCCAGTAACTCAGTCTTAAAATTCATGACAGTATCTGAAGGCTGCATAGCCATCAGGACAAACGCAATTCACTCACAGTGCCCCCCCCCCAGCACAACATGTTACTTCGCAATTTAAATGCCTGTTTAAAACAACGTGGCCTAAAAAACCAGGACATACCTGTCTCTGTTAAAGTCATATCTCGATCAGCACTGTCTGCGGCACCGTTTATGCCTGGGTCTAAAGACGGATAGATGAGTTTCGACAAATTCGCTTCTGCACTTTCTTCAGCAATGTGCTCACCTGTCTGAAACAGAATACACCAGCCTCTTAAAATTCAAAGTACTGGTTCACCGAATTCGATCGAAACGAGGTTATGAAAATACGAAAAACTTTACTCAAACTGTTTGTCTTCAGCAAATCACTCGGCAAAAGATATAATGGAAAAGACGCTTAAATAAGTTTTAAAGAGGTGCAACAAGGAACAATCATTGAAAACTATATATGACCGGTATTTAGTTTTTTACTGTTCATCAGATTCTTCCTTCAGCTGCCATAGTTTCACACTCTCCTTAAACGCAGCTCTTTTTTCTCTGATTTTTTCTGCCTTCGCTTTCGCCTTCAGCAATTTTTGTAACTGCTCCTTTTTCTTTATAGCCGCAAAACACTGGTCACCATTGAAATGATGGTCCAATCGCTCTGTCAGTCTATGACGAGCAATTTTTCGGTTTGCCTCAAGATTTCGGCTCTCGTGGACCTTCACGACGATACCAGTAGGAAGATGTTTTAGAACGACACAGTTCTGACTCGTGTTAACCTTCTGGCCGCCAGGGCCACTGCCAGAAACGAACTGCTCTTCTAAATCACGTTCTGCCACTTCCGGAAATTGATAGTTCTTTCGTGAAATGCATGCCTTGGCAAGATATGGGATTTTCAAACATTTCACTATGGTGGAGGTTTTACGGTAGGAATTCATCAAAGACTCAACTAAAATGTGCCAATGAAAGAATTAAACAGGAGCCGAGAAAAAGAAGACAAGGCAACTATAACTGTGGCATACTCAACAGCCATCGGTCATGAAGTGAAATTCATGCAAATACGAAAAGGATGTATCGTAAAAACAATGAATAATAACCGGCAAACAAAAGGTAGTACCTAAGTAAAATAACACAAGGCCGGTAGACATATATATAACGAAGTACATAGAGGACAGACACTGTATTATTTCGGCAGCGTTATTTCGGCACGGGCACGAATTTCTTTGAGCGAGTAGTCCTTAAGCAGGTTTCCGTTTTCGAAAATTGGAATTAAGAGATCCTATAAGATAACAAATAGTAATACGCAATGTACAACAACCAAGAAATGAAAATATTACAATGGAATAAATTATTACTAGGTACTTCTGACTATCTACGTACTTCTCATTTAATGGATCTGAAGAACATAATCGTACCGACCCCTTGCCTTCCTAGATCCAGAAGGCACCTACACAGTGCACCTGCAATGCATGGCTACAAATCCGCAATGCTGTTTTGACGAACATCCGTCTGTTTAATGCAATAAGCAAAATCAGAAAGCATACATACACCTATGAATATCGAGGCAGATATACGCTTTCTAAAAAGGTTCAGCTTTGTTCTCTGCCGGTGAGAACCATAAACATATGCCAGTATTAACCTAATATTTACGTATATCTTAGAAAATTTTAATACATGCATCAATATTTCTATCTAGGCAAACACTAACAGATAAAGAAATTTGTCGTTTCGAACAGGTTACTGTTCGATCCATCATAAGTTAGCATTACCAGGATGAAGCTAGAATTAAATAGGATATTCATTGAACCACGTCTTGTTTAGCAAACCTCTAGAATTCTAGGAATATTAGGCTCGGTGATTCCACTGCTTGCAGCAGGGGGGAAGTGATCGGTATTGAAAATTCTCAGCTGGAGATAAAACTGGATTTTTTTTCGTAAATTCATAATTGCATTATATTAATATTCCTGTACTTATTTAAGTACTTTATTCCCTAACTATTTCCTTACAAAAGCACTAACCCAATCATGTCCCTACGGACTTTAATTGGTCTCGACTTATTTACTTGCATAGGTACTTGTTTCTGAATCGCTCATTCGTTCACGCAGTTATCTACGCAAAAGCTGGTATGGTCGCCAATACTTAGGTATTAGTGTACCTTCTTATTTACACATCTGCTCACTTAGATTCACTTATCTAACTGCTTACATACAGAGGCACACTAATTCACCTACCTGCATGCATGATATACAACAGAACCGGACTATTTCTAGTTTCAAACGGTGTGCAACATCCCAGAATCATAAGCTCGAACAAAGCGAGCAAAGAAATTTCTGGGTCTAACCGAGAGAAAAAGATCAATATCGAGAAAATGTTGACAAAGCGACCGGTTTCTAGATTTGCCTAAGGTAAGACCAGCACCCTAAGTTTTGACGAAGTGTACCATACAGAATCTAGAAAAAAAACAGGGGAAAGCTGAAGCAGTGCAGTAACCTGTAAAAAATGCACGGACTTTTAGAAAACTGTGTTTACAATGATCAGATGTTGGATGAAAAGTTTTTCCATTTTTCTGCACAGAATACCGTTTTGTGGAAAAAATCATGCTTCATGATGGTCTGGCATGGTATCTACTTCAGCATGAAATTTTTAAGGGCAAAAGAACCATATCGAAAATCTCATTTTTATCATTGCACATCATGTTGGGGGAGGTAATCTTTTGGAACGGTCGATGGCCTTCCTCAAAGAAGGAACCTGAACACTGGCAGGCACAAACAGGAACACAGAAACACATGAGTACCTGAGAATCGTCGCCTAATCCATCTTCGACCGTTGTGTATCGGCCGTCAATGATCTGAAGTGTGAGTTTACCCTTCCTCGAGGTCTTCCCCTGGTCAGTGGCAGGCTGCTTAAAGACACTCCTCTAAAACGACGGTTTAACGGCACGTAAGAGTAAAATGCGTGTCATACCTCTTCCCCATTCACAACCACAGCGCTGCACTTAAAGGCACATTTGAGCGTATCACGGTCAATCTTTTGAAGAAGTGCC